ACTCAACTGTAAGTCACCTGTCAATGATGTCAAACTGATGCCATAGACACAAGCCCAAACGCCATTGACATAGGTTCTATGGGTGGCCAAAGGTGGGTTACATTTTTGGCAATTCATGTTGAATTGGCTGAAATTTGAGCCCTGCATGACCCTGCAAGCACCAAGCATCTTGACAAAAGTCGATCAACTGAGCCAGGTGGAAAATTATTGACCTAACGGTGACTACTTCAGATATAATCCCTGTTCAGCAGCTTCTCTGTATTCAGGCAGCCACATTAGCCGTGGCCACTGAATACAATAGCCGACAGATCCCGCCATCCATGCTGTCCATGGGGGAATCAACTGATTTTCTCTCGCTGGCAAATGAATGGACCTATGTATGGCTAGCTTAGGTCTAGTGACAGGTGTATTTTAAACATGGCATGGACACGATTGTAAATTTCAATCCATATTTCTCTATATATGATGAATTTATTATCAGCTATTGAAAATCTCTACAGAGATGTCAAACATACAGCGTGTGCAAGACAAGCTAAAAGATGATTCTGAAGTAGAAGCATTCTGCAAGGGAAAAACAAAACAAAGTTGGGCTAGAAATACTGTTAGCTGCTTGAAAACATTGCGTGCTCTGCATGCTGACAGTGTGCCATTACAGACACCCTAGAGTATTCCACGGCATGCTGCTACTTGCAGTTCACCAACAACCATATATGATTAATAGGCAGCCCGAGGGCTCTCTGGTATGCTGTACTGGTGCTTGTACGACACCAGCAGTTGGACTACCCTGACTCCGGTTAAGGGCCACCTATAACATTTGTTTCATTTCAAAAATAGAGATGATTGTGGACTCTGTTCTTTATTCTGTGTTCCTTGGCTGGCATTTCCATTTAATTTGGCAATTCTACGACTCTGTGGGAGAGTACAAATATTGTCCAAGAAAATAACATTTTACTGAGTCACACCATAGAGCCACTCTGAGACTTCCAGCACATTAGGTAATCCATGTACCTTGCGGCACTCCTTACCGAATATTCCAAAGATAATGGGTGTTTGTAATGACTGCGGATGGCGCCGCTCAAAATCCAGTAACAAATGCAAATGTCTCCAGCACTCCAATACGAAGATTCACGTCAGTGCAAACAGGGCTGGATTTACTCCCCCTGCCGCCCCAAGGCCAGGTTCCACAATACTCCCATCTGCCGCCCCAGGGCCGGGCCTCGGTGGCCTTGTGGGAAATCCGGGCCTGAGTGCAAATCCATTATATTGACAGATGTCAAAAGACAAGTGCTTTCGGGGCCGCGTAGGGTACCCTTCATCAGGCTCAATAATAATTAATGGCCACATTGCAGCACATTAGAACACTTGTAGTTCCTTTCTGGAGGCCATACAGACCTCAAGTGTATTCCTCTGGAGGTCCTAAATGACTGTTCAGGGCAAAAAATTGTAAATTTGCATCAATCTGATCACTTTCCATCCCATCAAAAGGGCTTTTTTCTTTGGATTAGTCGAATGGAACTGGTATTGAAAGGTAATTGAAAATTCCTAGATTCAATTTGATTATCAAAGCAATCACTTTATAAGAATGATCAGATATCACCAACTGGACTATGGTCCAGGACCAAATCATAGAATATTAGACTGCCTGTCAGGTCTAGCCACATGTGTGAATCTAACAGGACTTGCTAAGACTTGTAGCACTCCACCTGCTTCAGATGGAGTCCCACAAGCTTGTTCTGGAAAAAAAGGGTCAGATACAGGTGTATGAAGCACTGCTATTGTCACACCTGGGAAACAAAGGTCAGGTGCAGTCAAAGGAAGCACCAATAGTATTGTCACACCTGCGAAACAAGGGTCAGGTGCAGTCGTAGGAAGCAACATTAGTATTGTCACACCTGCGAAACAAGGGTCAGGTGCAGTCGTAGGAAGCACCATTAGTATCGTCACACCTGGGAAACAAGGGTCAGGTGCAGTCGTAGGAAGCAACATTGGTATTGTCACACCTGGGAAACAAGGGTCAGGTGCAGTTGTAGGAAGCACCATTGGTATTGTCACACCTGGGAAACAAGGGTCAGGTGCAGTTGTAGGAAGCACCATTGGTATCGTCACACCTGGGAAACAAGGGTCAGGTGCAGTTGTAAGCACCATTGGTATTGTCACACCTGGGAAACAAGGGTCATTTGTAGTTGTGTAAATCATCTTAACTGTGGTTATGTCTGGGAAACAAGGGTCACATGCAGGTGTAACCATCATTAGTATGGTAATCTCCCTGCCCGGTGCTAGGTTTGGATTAGAACATTCTGATCAATATGACCAATTTCGGTCCAGAACCAAAACATAGAACGTTAGACTGCCTCTCAGGTCTAGCCACAAGGGTAAATCTAGCAGGACATAGTGAGACTTGTAGTACCCCAGCTGCTGCAGTTTGAGATCCACGAGCATATTCTGGAAAAAAAGGAGTCAGATGCAGGTGTATAAAAGTCCAAAGACCTGTAGCACTCCTTACCGGAACTCCCAAGTGTATGTTGAGGGTGCTCACAGTGACCGCAGATAGCACCGCATTTAGTATAATCAAGTATTGGAACGTCACCAGCACGACAGAGACTTATTGATGTCAATCATTACTCAAAAAGATGCAGCTGTATGAAATCCCATGAGTATGGTCATGTTTGGGATAAAAGGGTCACTTGCAGCTGTATGAAACCCCATGAGTATGGTCATGTCTGGGATATAAGGGTCACTTGCAGCTGTATGAAACCCCATGAGTATGGTCATGTCTGGGATATAAGGGTCACTTGCAGCTGTATGAAACCCCATGAGTATGGTCATGTCTGGGATATAAGGGTCACTTGCAGCTGTATGAAACCCCATGAGTATGGTCATGTCTGGGATATAAGGGTCACTTGCAGCTGTATGAAGCTTCATGAGTATGGTCATGTCTGGGATAAAAGGGTCACTTGCAGCTGTATGAAACCCCATGAGTATGGTCATGTCTGGGATATAAGGGTCACTTGCAGCTGTATGAAGCTTCATGAGTATGGTCATGTCTGGGATAAAAGGGTCACTTGCAGCTGTATGAAACCCCATGAGTATGGTCATGTCTGGGATAAAAGGGTCACTTGCAGCTGTATGAAGCTTCATGAGTATGGTCATGTCTGGGATATAAGGGTCACTTGCAGCTGTATGAAGCTTCATGAGTATGGTCATGTCTGGGATATAAGGGTCACTTGCAGCTGTATGAAGCTTCATGAGTATGGTCATGTCTGGGATAAAAGGGTCACTTGCAGCTGTATGAAACATCATGAGTATGGTCATGTCTGGGATATAAGGGTCACTTGCAGCTGTATGAAGCTTCATGAGTATGGTCATGTCTGGGATAAAAGGGTCACTTGCAGCTGTATGAAACCCCATGAGTATGGTCATGTCTGGGAAACAAGGGTCACCATACAAATGGTAGTGAATGCCAATTGAAAACTGTACATTTAATAAGAATATCAAAACAATACTTTTTTAAGAAAGATCAGAGCACTCTAACCATTGTAGGTCAAGAACCAAATCATACAACTTTAGACTGCTTCAAGTAAAAAGTGTGAATCTAGCAGGAAATGCTGAGACTTGTAGTGCTCCAGCTGAGTGCAGTCATGTCTGGGAAACAAGGATCACATGCAGGTGTATGAAGCAAACATCATAAGTGTGGTCATGTCAGGGAGATATGAGTTACATGCAGGTATGTTGACTAGTGGTTAGCACTTCTACCTTGTAGCACTGGGGGTCCCTGGTTCTAATCCAGGCCAGGTCTATAATGCATTTGCATGTTCTCCCTGTGCTTGTGTAGGTTTCCCCCCCACCACTCCAAAGATGTGCTGGTAGGTTAATTGGTTCCTGTCTAAATTGGCCCCTAGGTTGGACTTGATGGACTAATGTCTTTATTCAACCTCAAATACTATGTAACTATGTATGTATGTATGTGAGGTAGGGACCTTAGATTGTAAGCTCCTGGGGCAGGGACTGATGTTAATGTGCACAATGTAAAGCGCTGCGTAAAATTGTTGACGCTATATAAATACCTGTAATAAATAAATAAATTATGAAGCATCTTATGTATGGTCATGTTTCCACCTGGTGCTAGGTTTGGATCAATATGATCAGGGCAAATCATAGAACATTAGACAGCATGTAGGGTCTACCCACAAGTATGAATATAGCAGGACATACTGAAACTTGTACCCTAACTGCTGCAGTTGGATATCCACAAGTGTATTCTGGGGGAAAGAAAAAGAATTAGATACAGGTGAATGACACCCCATGAGTATGGTCAAATCTGAAGACTCATGAAGACTCATGAGCGCGGTCATGTCTGGGAGATATGAGTTACATGAAGCGTCATAAAGTTTAGTACCTGCCTGGTGCTAGGCTTGGATTAACATAATCAGATCAATATGACCAACTTTGGTCCACAGCCAAAACATTGAACATTAGGCTGAATGTCAGGTCTAGTTACAAGTGTGCATCTAGCAGGACATGTTGAGACTTGTAGTACCCCAGCTGCTGCAGTTGGATATCTACAAGTTTATTCTAGGGAAAAAAGAGTCAGATAGAGGTATATGAAGCCCCCATGGTCATGTCGGGGAAAAGAGTGACATGCAGGTGTATAAAGCCTCATGCCCGGTGCTAGGCTTGGATCAATACCGCGCATGCAGCTGAAGGTGTGTGTGTGCCATTCATTTGGATGAAGAGCCCAGCATGCGCTTCATTGTGTCCGGTGCATCATGTGTGACCGGTGCTATCAGATGGGAGGCGGAATGCAGCCGCACCGGTCACTCAGCATTCCAACATCCCGGCGCAGAGTCCGCACCGTGTCAGTGTGTGTGAGCAACGGCAGGAATGCAGCTTCAGAATCACTGCCATATAAGGAATGGAAGGGGCGGGGCCAGAGCAGGTGGGAATGAGCAGGTAGAGTAGGGAGCGATCGGTTACAGCTCAGTCTCAGCGCAGCTCCTCCAGGAATGCTGATCGTCACCTGTCTATAGAGATCACCTTCCCCATTCACTGCCAGGTACGGGACTCTACTCCATATACCTGTATAATATTCAGCTGTATGCATGCAAACCTGACTTCAGTGTCATGCTAGAGGGGACAGCAGTGATATCCCATCACCTAAAATCCCATGTCACCCTCTGATGGCTTCTAATGCCTGAGGTTCATAGGTAATATTTTAATTGCACATCCATAAGAGCAATGGCAGCTATTAGCGCAAGGCTGCGCATCCGTCACATCGTTGTAGCCCTGACTATGGAATGGGCAGATGGAGTTACTTACAAATAGTTATTCCTTTCCCTGATTGTGTGTGATTGTTAAACTGGTGAACGTCTCTCTGTTATACAGAAGTAGCAGAACATTGCTTATTATTGGACAATCTGCTTTATCACATTATATTTTATACTTGATTGCACAATGGGAATATAGAGAGATCTATCACTGTATGTAAATGGTTATATTATATATACAGGGTGATGTTATGATATATTGTAACACAATGTCGTCATTGTCAGTCGTTGTATAGATTTATTTTCACATTGTATGCAGTCCATTATATGTCACATATCCAGGGATTCCCATTGCATGGAGTGTGCAGGTGGAAATCGTTATTTGCTGCTAGGTTAGGTTGGATTTTACGTACGGACTGTGGTTCTGTAGCACAGCTTGTGGGTCACAGGATTTTTTGGAAAGGCAATTTTATTTATATATATATATTTTTTTCTTAATATCATCAATTAGTTGTTGCAGCTCTAGAGTTTATAGACTTAGTAGAGGCAGACTAGGGTTAGTCCTTATGATCAGGTAGTGTGGGCACATATGTGTGAACAACATTGTTCCAGCTTTTATGTCGGTGGGAAATAGGGTTGTGTATCATATACAGAAGAGTTTTTATGCTATATTTAATACATTTGTACTTTTTCATATAATTTTGAGGGCGATGGCCTTGCTGT